AATGACCAAGGCAGCAAACTAGTTGATTCAGTTGAACCACACAGCTCAAAAGGCTTTCGGACAGACTCAGATGTAAGTTTGCATTATTTGGCGTGCGCTATTTTCTCATGAGTCCAGGCTGTTTGCTGCTTTTTTGGTTCTTTATCGAGCTGGTGGTTGCTATTTGGAAGCGATGTGTGGAACAGGAGCTGCTTGTGGTAGGCGTGCATATCACGCTGGCATTGCAGTGTTTGTCGTGCTATTTCTGCAGACTTCCAGGCAGCTATGCGGTTAAACGTTTGAAGACCATTGAAGACCCTTGTGTGGCCTGCTTGGCTCAAACGTGTTTGAGATGGGTATGGTGGCTATGATGACAGGATGCATTGCGCATTCCCTGTGAGGTGTGTCATGGATCTTGCTCCTCGTGTGCACAGCCATTGCGCAACGCGCGTTGGAAAAAACTTGGTTCATGAACACTCGTCCCGTGCTCAGCTTGGGAGTGGGTGCTCGAATATTGGGTTGTTTTGGGCCCAAAATTATTTGGAGCGCCTTGAGGCATGGCAATCTTCTCAGGCCGTCGAATCATTGGCTCGCCAGAGTCACAGGCTTGGCAAAGTGTCCCTGAGCTGTTCCGTTATTGACTTGTGCGGCTTGCGGCTTGAGAATATAGTATGATTGATTCTGGTTGAGCGCAGGCTTCCTGGTTTACAAGGACTTGGAAGAGTACAGGTCCAGCCACCGCATCCATCACCAGAACTTTGGCCTTGACGAGGAGTATATAATTGCACGTGCTGTTTTTTTGTTATTTCTCTGGAGCCTGCTTTTCATTCCGGCCACAAAAAGCGACGTATTGCAATTGCACGCAAGTGCAACAGTTCATTTTGCGCGCGCTCAATCACAATGCTTTGGAGTTGACTTGTGTATCTTGCCTGCGGGGAGGATCCAGACCGGATCGTATATGGAAGAGCTGCGACCAGACCACTTTTGGGAAAGGTCAGCGTTGTTTGCGTTGCGTGCTTGCATTTAAGTTTGTTTTGTTGAAACGTATATGACTGTCAATGAGTGTCCCTTTTTGCATTTACCTTTTGTGGAGATGTGGTGGTTTGCGTGAATTGAAAGCAGAATGCTTGCAGTGACCGCAGTATTGAGTCTCGTGATGAGCCAAGGTCTGGTATCACGAGAACCTGCAGAAGAAAGGGCTTTGGATCCAAGTCGTGTCTTTCCTGAACCGTTTTGATGACTGGGGTACCCTCGTAGGTATTCATCGTGTCTTTCGTATCTTGCTTGCAATGTGTTGGCCCTCCCCCCAGCAAGTCTTTTGGCCTCCCCGTGTGTTCAGCGAGCAAAATTTTCGCGAAAGCTGTCGTTCTGAATTTCCCGTTCAATGCGTGTTTAGTGAAAACAACATCCTGCTCGACTCTCGCGACGGCGCCTTTCAGAGTGTGTGTATAGTTTCGGCTCTAGGCCACTTGCCTGACTGTCTTCATGCTGAGACGTCTGACTTGGTCTGGCGGAGAGGCTGGTCCTATAGAACTTGAAGCAGTTGAGGTGGTTCGATTTCTGCTTGTTGGCACAGTGTCTTAAGGTACTGCATTGGATTGCAGCAGCGTTGGCCTGGTGGACTTCTAGCTATATTCTTGTGCTTCCATTCTTCCGTGCGTGTGCAGAACACTCTGTGTCTCAGATGCAGATCCACAACTGATCTCGTTGCAGTTTTGAATAGGGGCAAAAAACTGTCAAGTTGCTATTTTGCTGCATTGGTTTGCACTGGGCCGGATATGTGAACTCCTGGTTTACCAAACTATCTTTAGCTACCGCTGGCTCCTAAACCTCCCCCTCACGTCGTTGGAGCTTGGACCATGGTCGGGGTGTCGCAGCTTGCATGAAGGAACACAGTGGCTTGATCAAAGACCCTCAAAGTGGTGAACACCTTGATGATTATCTTCGCAAACATTGGACAATGACGAGAAGCAACATCGGGGTTTTCCATCATTGGGTTTTGCACCCAATGAACGATGGATATCACACGCTTCACCATTTGGATCCGCAGATCCCTTTTTACATGCTCAAGCCTAAGTTGATCTGCGCCTTGCTCCAAGATGCTTAAAAGATTTTGAGTCATGTCTCAACAAGAGGGTCTAAGCGCTGAGGTTGAGGACCTTGCATGAAAAGCTGATGCGGAGCAACACCTTCGACTACGCTGAAACCTGCACCGCAAAAGGGTTGATAAACAAATGCCCGCAGGTTTTTTACTGAAGGCATTGAACTCAGCACGAGCAGCTTGAAACAAGTTGCTTGCCCCTGGGGTGTCGGAATTGGCCGTGCACTTTTGAGCCAATATTGACCCTCAGTTGCAAAAACACAGTCACAAAGTAGGAATATAGATGAATATAGAATATTTGACTTGTCGCGCTTATTTGGTGGCTCTCTGGTGTTAAGCGTTGTCTGGGCGTTTCTGACGCAGTTTGAAGCAAGTTGCTCAGAAGGCCCCTGCCTTTGAACATGTTTCTTTTGGACGCAGTAGCTGCAGCAGGCTCCCCAGTGTCAGTGAGCGATGGTTTTTCGTGGACTTAACCGGTAGATAGTTCTTGCAGCTAGCTCTAACGCCAAGGTTCTGGGGTCAAAGCGCTGCAGTGCTTCGTAGTTCAGAGCATTTGCTAGGAGGTGAGTCCACACCAGCACAGAAGTGGACAAGTGCCTGTGAAGCCAGCGCCCATTTCACGGAATTGTCATCATTTTCGTATGACAGGAATGTAGAAAGATGGTGTGTTGGCTGCGCATATGTGTTGCTGGACTGTCGGCAGCTTCAAACGTTTTCTTCGCGACCTGTATGGAAGAGACCTTGGGAATCTTTGTTGTTTTTGTTGGAAGTTTTTTAGGTTTATCTCAGGCCCAGGCTCACACGTTGCCAAAAGCTTGGCGTTGCTGTTTGTTTGGTTGCATCTGCCTGAAGCGGGTGATGCCACCTTGTGTGACTTGAGTGGATTCAAAGTTGGTAGCTTTGATCTTTGGAACTTGATCGCGACAGAGAGCTGCTTCCAAGACAGCGTGTGATTGCGCAGAGCCCAACAAAAGATAGAAAAAGTGTCGCTGTGAGAATAGCGGATTTGTGCTCAAATGGATCCTGAAACATGTCGTCTTGCGATTGGTCATTTTCCAGTGACGTTTAGTTTAGACACTTGTGACCGTGCTTGAAGACACGCACCTTCACCTCTCTCAGCCCATCTCAGCCCTTAGAAGTATTTTAGTAGCCTTAGCGCCGTATTGTGTGAGCAGAGCCATGCAGCATTTGAAGCTCTACTACTTGAACTGTGGCGCTGGGTTGCGCATCTTGGAGGGGCATTTGCAAAAACACACGTTCCTGCGCGGTACGGAAGAGCCGAGCGTTGACGATTTCACTGCTTTGGAGAAGGTGGAGGCAGGAGGCCATGACCTTTCCAAATATCCATTCCCGGAAGTGAGGAAGTGGATCGACAGAGTCAAAAAAGCAGGTAATGTTCGCAGCTCTTGTGACAATGGACCGGTGCAAGTGGAATTCTTGGAGCACAGCCCCGTGAATATGGCCTACATCGAGAAGCAGCAGGCTTTTGAAGAGGAGGACGGTATTTTTCTTCTTTGATTTTCGACCGCTCCGTTTAGATGTCGTCTAGAATCTGTTGAAAGGTTCGAGTCTTGCGCCAGTAGTAACGTTACGCTTCCTTTGCAGCCCTTGCCCTTAATGAATCGAAGCAGGAGTTCAAGTACGAAGTGAAGAAACCCAGCCTACAAGTCTTTGAGGAAGACTCCGTGCCTGGTGCTGTGCAAACTCGCTGCAAGACCTTCTCCATTGAAAAAGGTGTCTTTGAAAAAACTTCCAGGGCTGCACATAGTCACTGCTTTGGTGACCAATGCACGCAACATCGATGAAGAAGGTGTCCTGCGTGGGCACTTTGAGTCTGTTTGCAAGATGATCGGAGACAGAAAACTGGAGAAGCGGGGCCGGCTTGAAGTCTGGAAGCGCTACACCAGCGATTTGCAAGACCGTGGACCTAGCAGCCTTTTCTTGACAAAGGGTGCGCGTCGGGATCCTCCTGTCCAATCAGTCCAAGCTATGTGGTCACGACTCGAACAAAAGGGAAAGAGTTTCAGTGTGAACCCATTGGTCGATTTTTACAATACTTTGTCCATCAAGCACGTGATCACAGGCGGTGGCTTCGACTTGGAGGCTATGCCTGGTGACTTGCGCTTGGGTCTCTCAAAGCGTGGAGATAGGTTTCTGGCACTTGACAAGGATGAGAGCGGTCCTCCAGTGGAAGTTGATGTTGGGGAGGTGAATTATGTGGTTGAAGGTGCAAGCACCGAGATCACTGGCAATGTTGTAACCAGGCATTTGGCCTACAAGCAATCAAGGCTGGGATTGATCCAAGAGCGCTCCAGAGACGTGTTCCTGATGTTTGAGATGCCGCCAGATTTTGTGGACGAAGTGGTGCCAGAATTGATCAAAGATTTGCGGCGGCTTCCTCACTTGTACAAAGAAGGCAAAGATGCCAGCGTCTACATCCGAGTCCTGAATGCATCGCGGCACAGCGTCCTGATTGCTGGGGAAGAATCAGCCGTTCATGCTTGAATGCATTGATTGAGTCAACAAGTTGTGATGTGAAAAAAAAAGAGAAACGACGAGTTCTTTTGTTGCAAGCCATATAAACTTTTTCGGAGTGACTCAGTCTCATGCGT